AGTCTACACAGTACACTTGTCAAATGGATAGATAAAGAAAGTATCCTCAGCTCTCGACAGCGATGCATCGGTATCCAAGACATTCTGAGCCAGTCTTTTCATTCATTCTCGCTGTTTTTCTTTGTTATGTCTGCACGACGAACACAACACAGTCGATTCAAAGCCCTTTTACGCGGACAACTTGTAAAATAACAGAACAAATACTTGCCAGATATGATCACTAGCTGCGATGGTTCTTTTCCGTGCAAGATATCTTCAAGCATCTTTAAAGAATTTTCATAAACACAAATAACACGACTACAAGCTCAACTTCAGACAAATTAGTTATCAATCACACGACAATAGAAACCCGGAAGTGAAATTGAAACAGGAAGTGACCCGTGACTCATGCATATTTACCAAGACTGTTTTATTTCACGTTTGGAAAACGCAAGAATCTGCTGATAATAGTTTAGAATAAACTCATTAAATCGTTTTTTTGACGATATTATACTCGTATCTACTTATGAAATTCAATTCCAATAAAAATATTGAAAATCTCGTAAAGACTGCCTATTAGCTGTGCGAGAAAGTTCGAGATTTCGCGCATAGTTCGGGAACTACAAAATGGCGGAGGTGAGACCTTCGTCAAGACGGGGAAATCGGGGACACAGTTATGGTCCAAATCCTGTAGTAGCCAGTGGAATAGATTCCATGCAGATGGATTCTATGGGAGGACATTATGATTCAGGTAACGTTTTGATAGATGACATTGGCATTTTGTACCCAGCGTGCATTTTTTTAAATTATGAATCTCGGTTTGTTTACAATTTCAAATTTGAACTTGTAATATGATCGTGATACTTTGAAAAATCTACGGTTCTTGAGTGTACCTAGCTGTGGTTCATAGCCTCGATTTCAGGTCATCATTTTAACGTGGTGTACATTGCCGGCCCGAGATAGTGTGACAAAATAGCATAAAGAACAAGTCAGATAAAAAAAGTGTTATGAATATAGTCGAACTCGGCCGGTTTCCAACTCGGCCAGATAAAAATAGTCGAACTCGACCTGACCAGATGTAATTGAATTACAGCGGCCGAACTTTTTGAGCTTTGTGCCATCTGGAAATTTCATTCGAATTGAACATCGGATAAAAAAAAATCATCATCCGCTCACACCGGGTTTACTGGTAATATTAAATTAAAATTGTTAACAAATGCAGAAGATCGGTACAAAACATGCTCGTAAATTGCCTAGAACATACAGATCTGCGTTAAACCTTTGATTTACAACTTAACATTGCACCAGCTCACAGACAAGGTCTGTATTTTTTTTTGATCCAATATAATATAAAATTTACGATTCAAATCTTGTCGTGAAAAATCAAAACTAAGATCGGGAGGCAACTCAGCCAAGATGAAAGTACGTCTGCCTATTCATAAATTTAAGATGAGTACAATAGAAAGACAATGCGTCTTATCAGGTGTGAATCACCGTGCAGCGTCCATCTCTAGTACGTCCATTGATTGTAATAATTCGTATGACTGTTACCAATTTCAGTGACGCAAGTTTACAAAAACACACAGACATTACCCCGGAAACGCAGACATTGCATCGGCGACCACCTGGCTCTGCTATGTATTGTATTTTTCATCGTAATATGGCACAGGGCTGGTCTTGTTAGAAATCAACAACTCTCTGTACTTTGTTTGAAAATGGCAGCTGTGTCACTAAAATCAACACTCGCAGACCATTAACACTCATTTACCAACCCATTAACACATATAACCTGGCCGACTTCAACTGCTGGCCTAGTCGAACTGCTGAACGAGTTCAAATCTGGCCGAGTTCGACGGACACCTTGTCTATCAATATTCTCAAAGATGGACCAGAACAGAAAGTCAGTAGTGGACAAAAGATTTTTTCGTTAGCGTGGGGGAAAGTTCGTTAGCCTGGGGAGAAACAGAGGTGGTAATTCAAAAATTCATCGTCTATTCTTGTTTGTGATTGGTACTGGCAATGTTTGGGGGATTGTGACGTAGCTCTGTCTTTGAGAATAGTAAGTGACAGAACTGCAGCGAGAGTGTACTCAGAATTGCTGAATTCTAGGCTAATTTGAACTTCCCATTGACAGTAAGTGTAACCAGATTTTAGGAGGTGTGTTGGGAAATTTATTGACATAACTTTGCTATCGGGTTATTCAAATTGCTAAATGGATGGGTTGATTCAAAATTTGAAAGTCAAAATCAACACCACACGAGCCACATCCCTGTATCCATGTACCCGTGCTTCAGCACTGTTTGACCTCAATGCTAACAAACTTTTCATACGCTAAAGAAAATAATTTTCATCTACTCTAACTGACTACATGTTCTGGTCCATCTTTGAGAATCTTTGTATGTACAAAATATCAAGTCTATTCCTATTTTCAACAAATTTCTACTTTGGGTTACCCATTTGAAATCTGTGAGTGAATTTTTTTGGAAATATTTTATTTTTATGTAGACATTTTCACAATTATTTATATGTACATCAACATTGGTGTAGAATAGGATTGTACTGATAGGGTGTTTAATACATGTACACCGTGACTTACACCATTCTCATGCAAATTTGTTTAATTTTATATCCAGAAAGTGGTACAGTAACAGGAAGACCCCAATCAAGACCTGGAACAAGTCAATCCATTGATATGCGACTAGGAAACACACCTTCAGTGAGTCCAGAACTCACTAGAAAAAGACAATCACGAACAAGGCCCAAATCTGCAAAAGGAAGAACCAGAGCAGGTGGTGCTGGGTATCAGACACATTTACTATCTCAACAAATGTCACTACAAGATGATGATGATGATACTGAGAGTGTGATTGAACAAGTGTTAAGAACTACGCCAGTGAGGCCAAACTCATCCCTGTCCAAATTTAAACCACTACCAGCCATTCCAAAAAGTGCTTCCATGGAGTGCAATACTCACGACGACAATATGAACATTTCACATTTTGACAACTCAACTTCATCACAATTTTATGAGGAGCCAACATCTGTTAACAAACACCAATCTCTTCTACAACCCACCAAGGACTTATCCGATGATGGAAATCCATCAGCACCACAGCGTGATCATGATGACCCAAACATATCACGTAATCATGATTTCCCCCCACAACTGAATTCAAATGTTAACAAATCATCACATAAAAGAATATCACGAAAAGACTTTCGGCAACACCAAAAGGCCAGGCTTGCCAGAGTGAAACTGAACATTCCAGTTCCATGCGAACCAGGTAAAAATGAACCAAGAATACAGCTTGCCATCAGACTCCCTGAAGGAGAGAGGTTGGTTAGGTTCTTCCATCCCGAGAATACATTGAAAGAAGTACTAGCCTATGCAGACTCGGAAAGTAGCGAATCACTACTGGATTGTGACATGTTTATTAATTCGATCCCAGAGAAGATATTCATGGATTTATCCAAGTCTATAAAAGAATCTGGGCTGCAAGACAAGACTGTCATCTATCTAGAAGACAAAGATTATGAATAACTAATGCAGTCCCAAGGCATGAAGTTCTGAAGCGCAGGAGTCGTCAACTGCATACGTGGCAGATGGTCGTGTCTACCCATAAGCAGGTGACAACCCCTCAACTTTAAAGCAAAGAAGTCATCACCTGCGCATGCGTGGGAATTGACACGACGATAACAACACACGCTAAAAACGCAAAGGCTCATGGGTAGACGACTGTTTGTAAACAATGAAACGCTATGGCCATCTGACGCATGTGCAGGTGACGACTCCCTCGCTTTAAATGTTGTCATTGTCATTCATTTACAGAAAACGACCAAAATGTCAGTTTTTAAGGAACATTGTGCTTAATGCACTGTCATCTCAGACACAAAATATTTAGCTGGATGTTTCTGAAAGTAATATGGTTGTAAAGTGTCAAGTTCTGGGATAACTGCTTCACAGGGATGGATCAACTACCAGTAGAAATTTACTGAATTGTCCAATCAGGGTTGTATCAGGGAAATTACGAGTGGTTTTATAACTGTAAAACCTGTATGGCTCAGTCACAGTGATTGATTAGAAGAACTTCAGCACAATACAACTACGATACATGTACCATAGAAAGGCATGTATAATTAACAAAGTAACAATTCTATACTTGTTATATTTTGTCACAATGTGGTAATCACGGGACCAACATACTTTGCTCATGTCTGCTTTTTTCGAAGGTCTGCCAATTATAAACAGTTCTTTTTTATGGTCTTAGCACACTATTCATTGTCAGATTGAAAATTTTTACTTGTGTGTTATTTCCTGGTATTTTTTTTTAGGAAAACATACATGTTAAGATGTAGCATGTACCGGTATACGAGGTACTTTTACAGTGCAACTTATTTACATTTTGTTTTGTGTGTGTGTTTACATTTTTTTACATGTTTCATACATACATGTATATATCACTAATCTAAAGGGCCCATGTACATTATTCACATTTAATCATCATTACGTTAGAAACTCACTAAAATTTCCAAAGAAATTTGCAACCCTTTTGTAAATCTCTTCTTCATACATGTACATGTCTGTTGTATGACTTTTTAGCTCCGCTGTCGACTTTGTCGAGCGGAGCTTATCATATGAGTGATTGTCCGTCGTCGTCTCCGTCGTCCGTGTCAATGTTTTACTTTTTCGACTTCTTCTTGAAAACTACAAGCCTGAATGCTTTGATACTTGGTGTATATGTACCTTGGGTAGACATCTCTCAGATTTGTTCATTTCATGATGATATCTTCAATTCTCTAATTTTGGTGAATATTTTTGTCATTTTTAGTAAAAAGTGATATTTTCGACTTCTTGTTGAAAAGTGCAATTGCTTTGATATTACATATATAGGTACTACATTTGGACCTCTCTCAGATTTGTTCATTTTGTAATGATATCTTTAATTCTCTAATTTTGGTGAATATTTTTGTCATTTTTGGTAAAAAGTGATATTTTCGACTTCTTGTTGAAAACCGCAAGTCCAATTGCTTTGATATTTACATATATAGGTACTACATGTCGACCTCTCTCAGATTTGTTCATTTTGTAATGATATCTTCAATTCTCTAATTTTGGTGAATATTTTTGTAATTTTTGGTAAAAAGTGATATTTTCGACCTCTTGTTGAAAACCGAAAGTCCAATTGCTTTGATATTACATATATAGGTACTACATGTGGACCTCTCTCAGATTTGTTCATTTTGTAATGATATCTTTAATTCTCTAATTTTGGTGAATATTTTTGTAATTTTTGGTAAAAAGTGATATTTTCGACTTCTTGTTGAAAACCGCAAGTCCAATTGCTTTGATATTACATATATAGGTACTACATGTGGACCTCTCTCAGATTTGTTCATTTCATGATGATATCTTTAATTCTCTAATTTTGATGAATATTTTTGTAATTTTTGGTAAAAAGTGATATTTTCGACTTCTTGTTGAAAACCGCAAGTCCAATTGCTTTGATTTATTATACATATAGGTACTACAAATGTACATGTGGACCTCTCTCAAATTTGTTCATTTTCTAATGATATCTTCTGTTCTTTAATTGCCATGTGCATTGCTAACAGCGGAGCTATCTCAGCCGACAGGCTGCTTGTTAAAATTCATAAAGAATTACACGCTTTAAATACGTCACTGTGGGTCCCATATAGAACAGGACGTGGTATTTCTCATAGAAAGCAAGGCAATTAAAAAAAAAAATTTCCCAGAAATAAAAAAAAAAAGTTTGAAGATAACTGTGTTCCAATTCGGTTTGAACTTCCCAGAGTGTTGGCTTATGTAGATGGTAGTTTGAAAGCAGGTGTGTATGTATTGATTTATCATATATGAAATTCCTTTTAAGAAATGTACAATTTGATATCTCATTTTTATTGTGTAAATATTCATGATATACTTGTGTATATACGGTATTTGTCCAAGGGAAGACCAATGTGTGCCATGCATACATGTCGAAATCTCAGGTGTATTTCCTTAACAGTTTATTTGAATTCTGTTCAGTTATTTACAACTGTGTACAAAATGTATATATGCATGTTTGTATTTTATTCTTTTTTATGTGAATTTTCATTTACCAGCCTTCAACAACAAAATATGACAATTCCTTGCAAAACTTTGTCAGTACATTTGTCAGCTGAAATATGCGAGAAATAATTTTTTTTAGCTTTCATGTTGTTTCTACCGAAGTTGCACTAAAATATCAAGTATAGTATCAGTGAGAACAGAAATGTGGGAAGGCTAATTTTATTTATGCAGCCATGTTTTGTACCACTATTTAACAGGACTGATCAATTGCATGAATAATGTATGTCCTTTCTTCCTAAAATAACGACTACTATATTTGTTCGGTTATTAGGACACCTTTCAAATAAGCACACTAATTCCAGTTATTGTATACTGTTTCCATCACTGAACAACAACAAAATATTTTGACCAGACATGCCCGTTATTTACATAAAGGCAAACCTTTAGCAGGAAACTGTTCATAATTGCCTGTATTCCAATTATCTCACAAGCTCCTTTCACGTGTCATATCACAATTTTATGTGTTGTTGGCAAAAACAATGGAAGAGTAATAAACCAAATCCCTTCGAGTAAATTTTGTGAGTGTATTTTTGGTTATCAGAAACTGTAGAATTCAGATTTCTTTTTGAGACTGTAAATATGCTGTTTATTTAAATTTTAAATAAATATCACATTATTTTCTGTACACTAATTTTCTTATTTCCATTCTGATGCAGCTCTACTGTAAAAAAGAGGAAGTTATTAATTGTTGTAAAATAATACTAATCTACCCAGTGGTTCATAAATGTAGTGCAGCAAGCTTTGACACGCACATCCATACAATATTTACTTTATGTTTGTGCTCTGGGAATGGGAGAGCCAAAGATGTACACTCTACAACAATTCAAGATATAAGGGATTTTTCCACCACATTGGTTCAACTTTTCCAATATCATAAACCACAAAACAAGTTTGAACACAGTACCATTGGTCACAGTTAGAAAATCTAACTAAAAATAGAACTGACATAACAAAGGAAAATCAATAGACCATTTTCCGTTCACTGCGAGAATCACGCGTTATGCGTGAAATCGAACGTAAAAACAGGACAAACAAAGGTCATAGCATCGTAGTCGCGTCAAACATCGCGTGGGATTCGACAAACGCGAAAGGATTTCGGGGACATTTCCATGCTTAATAATGTGCTGTCCACATTTGATGATAGGCAATTTCGATTAAGTGAGGGTATTCGGAAGCAATATTCCTCTGTCGAAGATCGGCCGGTCAATGTAAGCTGCGAAATAAAGAAATTCTAGTTCAAAAGCAAATCGTTCAATTTTTGCGGCAGACGTTTGACGCGCGTCTTTCATGCATCTCGCGAGATCTCGCAATTGTTCGGAAAATCACCTATTAAATGTTCAACTCAAAACGAGTTTCTAAGACTTGGTGATTTGTCCCAACTAATTCCCAGGGATAATTTATGTCTGAAAAAAAATTGCAATAAACACTCCTATCATTTTAGTGTTTTGATTACAGAATCTCGTCTTAATTATGTCGTATTCTTCACACTATTGGCTCATACCATTTGGATACATAAAATGAAAAACAAATTTTGGGGTCACTGAAAATAGTGTAAAACAAGTCTGCATTTCTATTCATGTAATTTCAAAAAAAGGAATTGTTCTTTTTTTCCCCCGTGGTAAACTTATTGTTTCATATCTCGAATTGGTCTGAAACATTTCTACATCTTTAATCATTATGGAACTTTCCACCCCCCATGTATTGCAACATGTTCAGAAGATGAACATTTTCTCAATATTACATTCATTCATTCATAAAAGCATGCGCAACTAGCGAGTAAAATCACAAACATACAAATCCACACCATAAAACTGACAATCTCCCATGCATGGTTATAATGATATTTTTTTTAATACTTTTTCACTGCCTCAAAAATTTTGTGTAAAAGTAGGACATTTAACAAAAGCATTTCAAAAATGTATCATTAAAAAGTAACTATTGGATGACAAGGGAAGATACAGTGAGTAGATACATGAGAAGGGTATCATTTTTTACTTCCATACACTTTGTTTCAGAAGAAATTAGAACTTTATCGGCTCGGAAGAACTTTGTACCAAAAAAAATGAAAATCACAACTCAAAAGTACAGTATTTAAAATATAATACATAGTATCAATACATTGTTGCATGTATGTTAGACCTGTTTGGTGAAGTTACAAAATGGCAGCATAAATTTTACTTCACTAAACAAGCCATCGATTAGTCATCACTCCATCACAACTGAGTTTGATTAAAATCAACTAATTTAAGCTAAAACTGTTTAAAGTACATTCAAAATTGCAACACTTTTAAGTCGCTTTTCAAAGCTGAAGTTGATGTGACTCAATGGTCTGCTAAATATTGCCACATTAATATCTTGTTTTTGTGAGTATTTTATAATGTTGGAGTTCCTGTATACTAGTAATTTATGCCAAAATTCATTTTTCAGTAAAGTATCCATCAAATAGGTTTTGCTGTAGCAGTGTTTCGCACCAACATGGTATACACCCAGTATGAATTGTACAAGTACAGTTTTCTACTAGTATTATTACTGTAAAACCATTTACTTTCACTATTTTGATGTTTTGAGGATATTCACTGTGTTTTAATTTCAAGAATTTGTCATGGAAACAATGATGTTCACATAGATTTAATTTAGTGGATTTAACTTTTTTAACATTACAAAATTAAAACTGAGTGAATCATTAATGCATTTACAGTACCCACAAGAATGGTTTACATAATTATCTAGATTGGCATCAGTACAAGCACCCACCAGTTAGTTAGGCACCCCCACATGTACAAGTATCATTTAAGTCCAGGAAAGAAATGTAAACAATTTGTGATCAATTTAGGTTTTTCAAATTCTTCAGCTATTTGCACACTTATCATAAATGTGTCTTATCACTTTGAGTTCACTCATTTTGTGTAACAAAGATAATCTTGACTTGGTGTGACATGGATTAAAATAATATAAACCAGCCGCTAGAACATAATCTTGTCACATTGGCTTGACCACATAAGTGTTAGAAAAGCTGCACTGTCACCAGATGTGCGTAGGGGCGGCTCACACAACATGTGTTAGTGATCAGTTTTCAGAGATATGCTACAAATTCAAAATTATGTTTCATATTTAAAGAGTTTTTGTGCCAATAAAGTACTCTAGTGATGTACACAAGTCCTATCAGAAGTACATTACTTGGGGTTTGCAACTACGGTGACATGACACCAAGATCCCGTTTCAATCTCGCTCTCGCATAAGCGGTCCAACTCAGAAAAATGTGAATGCGCATGCCCAAGGTAACTAGGATACTGGGATGTCCAGGTGGATCAAAATAGCTGCTCACGATATGACGGATTACGACATTTTCTGTACATTTTCGATGCATTACATTTTTTCACTATGAATGTAATACATGTTTTATTTTTTTATTACAAACCACCTATGTCATGTCAGAAGGTCGTAGCATCAGTCTTGCTATCTACGAGATGAGACTTGAATGGGATCTTGGCATGATGTCACCATACAGTACTATGCGTGTTGCAAACCCCAAGTAATGTACCTCTGGTCCTATCCATAATCAATATTTATGTTTTGAGCTGTGAATAATAGAACAGTAGAATAAACGCATGCAGAGTTCCAATAAGAATGCTGCTTTAACCCTTATACTTTTGCATTGACTTGGGTCAAATTAGGGCTAAACACTGAATTTCTTGGAGGTGCAATATACAAAAGATATTACATACAGACAGCATATAGTTTTTTTCCTACAAGGGTTTTTTGGTTGGTTGGCCAATTAGCTTACGGGGTACTTTAAATTGCTTACATATGCAAATTAGGTCTTGTGTACATATCTAGCATTTAGATTGCCAACATATGCAAATTAGGTCTTGTGTACATATCTAGCATTTAGATTGCCAACATATGCAAATTAGGTCTTGTGTACACATCTAGCATTTAGATTGCCAACATATGCAAATTAGGTCTTGTGTACATATCTAGCATTTAGATTGCCAACATATGCAAATTAGGTCTTGTGTACATATCTAGCATTTAGATTGCCAACATATGCAAATTAGGTCTTGTGTACATATCTAGCATTTAGATTGCCAACATATGCAAATTAGGTCTTGTGTACACATCTAGCATTTAGATTGCTGACATATGCAAATTAGGTCTTGTGTACATATCTAGCATTTAGATTGCCAACATATGCAAATTAGGTCTTGTGTACATATCTAGCATTTAGATTGCCAACATATGCAAATTAGGTCTTGTGTACATATCTAGCATTTAGATTGCCAACATATGCAAATTAGGTCTTGTGTACACATCTAGCATTTAGATTGCCAACATATGCAAATTAGGTCTTGTGTACATATCTAGCATTTAGATTGCCAACATATGCAAATTAGGTCTTGTGTACATATCTAGCATTTAGATTGCCAACATATGCAAATTAGGTCTTGTGTACATATCTAGCATTTAGTTTAAAGAGAACATACTGGTAGCATCTTATATAAATAAGAAGACTGTCATTAGAATATCAAGTCAAGACAACCTATTTTGTGACCAAGATCCAGATGTCCACATTGTAACAACATGCTAAAACGTTGAGTTAAATCAGTATCAGTGAAGGTTTGGAGAACTGGAAATCAAATTGATATGCCTTGTACCAATACAGGGATCTTCATATAAGGAACCATATGAACAGCTAAAACTAAATTAATGGTAAATGTAATTGTAACGTAATGTGTTTCACTAAATTAAATTCCTTATTTATCCTGGGTGCCTCAAGCTTCAAGTTTTTCAATTTCATCAATGTCATCTGCATTTAATCTTGAAATTTTTCTTCCTAAATAAGCAGGAAAAAAATAATATTAATGATTAGTAAAACTATAGTTATGCTAAAGAGCAAAATATCAAATATTATGATGATTGCGAAAACATGTCCGCTGACAGCAGGCGTGACAGCTGTGTCTATAATAAACTTGTTCGCTTATCCCCAATAGACATACCCCCCAGGAATACCACCACAATGTTGACATCAAGCTATAATGATTTATTACCCTCGGTAACAATTCATTATATTTACGTATTCTTATAGCATTATTCGAAGTCTCAGCAACTATTCCAAACAGTTTTTTGAAGGTTTACGGCCTTTGTTTTCACCGTGATGGTTGCCAGGCAGTGAAAATGCCCGGATGTCTGCCTCTTTGAATAGGCTGTTAATGATGCGGTACTTTTTGTTGTCCTCAATTATTTTAAAAATGCGGGTTCTAAAAAGTGTCAAAAAATGCAATTTTTATTAAAAATTGAGTTCTATGAAATTGTTCTAAAAATAGAGATTTTTGAAAAATATTAGAACTGTAACAAACAAAATAATGCTATTTCACTGTGCAATGGGACATTAGATTCATGTCTGTAACATAATAAACCAATGAACATTTGTGAGCAACTTTCTCAAAAATTATGAGTAGGCTTCTATCTTAAATTAACAAGGGTATTAAAAGTAAACACACAAATTTTGACATGACATGATGAAACTTTATTTTTAATAAAATGTCAATTTAAAAGTGCTGCAAGTCATCCTGCAATGAGTCAATGAAATTTATGTGCATACCAAACATTCCTTAGTTTTTGCGCATATTTTAATCTAAGTTCATCTTACAAAATTATTTGTGCTGTGAAGAAAAATCTATTTATAGGCCATATGTATGCATGCCCCTGAGAGGTCACACATCCTGGTACTTTTGGGGGTATTGATGACCTATTCCAACAAAAATCACCAATATTATACTGCAATTTTTGATGTGTTGAACTATTTGAAGACTACCGTATTTCATTGATAGTGAAAGTAGAAAGTACCAGGATGTGTGACCTTTAAAGGTCATCACATGCTTACCAAAATGCTCTTCTATTTTCTTCATTATACCCATGGCCCGTGGACCGTCCACCATATTGATAGCTATACCTGATTTACCGAATCGTCCAGTTCTGCCAATTCTATGGAGATACGTTTCACAATCTGCATGGCCATTCACGTCAACTGGAACATCAAAGTTGACGACCAAAGTGACTTGTTCAACGTCAATGCCTACAATAAGAAAATCAGAAAATTCCGTTGACTCTTGGACTAGATGCATGTAAAACAAGTGATATTGCTTGCAAAATCATATCAAGATAGGAGAATATATTACTGTAGAATACTTTACTTTCGCTTGGAATTTATTTTCGCTATTTTCGATGAAGGGATGTTTCAGTGAAAATAAAATCCAGCGAATATACTTTTTTTCTTATATTTCACATTAAACTCATCAAAAATCAGTGAAAATAAATTCCACACAAAACGCCCAAATAGCCTTTTCAGCGAAAATTAATTCCAGTGAAAATAAAGTATTCCACAGTATGTATAAAAATGATTGTAATCATGTCATAAACAGCCAAACTAATTGACATGTGTGTGATACTTGTCTGGTCATAGTTTTGGAGTTGGTTGCTGTACTAAACTTCCAAACCATTTTGTTGTTTATATTAAATAGTAGTTATTTAACTTTAAAAAGGAGTTTTGCATATTTTCATTACCGTACTCGACCGACTTATTGCCCATGCTCGGCTAAGCGCCCACCCCCACTTTTAGGACATTTCTCTTTTCGGGTCAACATTTGGCACCCAACCCCTTCAAAACTTGGTCTTTGATCATTGTTTAACTTATCCAAATATTGGTTATCATTTTTATGTGATACAGCATGGATATCACTGTGAATATGTTGGGAATGCATAGACCATGGTAACTGTTCGTAAGCTACGCTTCGACAATGACCTGGTAATAAAAGTGAATTGCTAGTTACCAGTTTTTTAATAAGTCATGTCATTTATTCGCCGAAATCAAGTCCAACAGATTGTACTTCGACAATTCACTTCCGCATTACTTTACCAGAAAGTCTTCGGGAATTTCCAAAGAATTGGGTCAGTACAACACATCATTCTGATTGGTTGACCCATTAGGTCGAAAGACGTTGTTGCAGGTGAAATCGTGCAAAAAAACATCATTGTGGAAAGTGCATTTCATCGAGAGTTTGCATATGATCCAACACATTCAACAATGAAGATAATGAAGATTTTGACCTTGACTGTATACAAACGGACTCAAATATTTTTAACCTTGTAAATTTGGATGGTACGTAATTAATATTGTAATGAAATTTTTTGTTGTAAGTCAATAACAACGCAATTAATTTCGTAATTTTATTTTCCCTCAAAGACGTAATATCCCCCTCAATCTGTCACATGGTGAATTAAAATTGTCATTTGCACTTTTTTTTGAGGGGGGTGCTCGGGTAAACACGCACCCCTAAAAAATCATGATTTTCTGAGTTGAGGCACTGGGCATTAACGCAGTTGAGTACTGCATTACAACATGAATTCTTAACCCTTTGAGCACCAACTTTTGTCACCATTCATTGACAGAATAAAATGTCACATTTTTTAGACAATTTCAGAATTTTGATCAAACCCTGTAGTTGATAGAAAATTATGTCCATTTGATCCAAAATGGTAAACAAAATTATAGAAAAACACTTAAAAATAGGCAAAATGTTACACCCAAATTTGGGAAGAAAAAAAAAAGTTTCAGTGTCACAGTGTCAATTTTGTGAATATAAATGAACCAATATATTGATATTTATTTGTAGTTGGTCAATGAAAAATACGTTTTAGAGATAACCATAACCATACAGAGTTGTACATTTAAAAAAACATTACTTGCTTATGTCAATATATACTAGGTAATTTTGACCATTAAAGGGAATAAAATATTTACCGTATTACCCCGGGCACGCGCCCCTCCCTGGGCAAGCGCCCACCCCCCTGTTTTCACAAAAGTTACATGTTGGGGACATCCTCGGTTAAACGCCCAGGGTGATTTTTAGCCAAGAACGGGGTCAACAATAAAGTTTTATTTGTCAAAAACGAACGCGTTCAATTTATTTAAATAGTGTGTTTGTTACGGTAGTTCTCTTTTTCGAGTGTGTGGTGGCCCTGAAAAGGGCCGCTTTGTTTGTGTTTTTACGTAAAAACTCATTGGAACTTAACGACGTAAGATGAACCACGCAGCATGTGGCGCACACGTTCTGCTTTCTCTTCATTCACGATGAATCCAATATTACAATATTGCAATAATCCATACCTTGGTGAGTGGTTTGAAGCACTTAGCTTTGGTTTCAAAACGTAGCATTTTGCTGACTGTGAATCCATAACGGGAGCTATCACTTTTGAGACATCACGTCGTAAACTTGCTACTTTCTTTCCATCCTTCATCACAGCATGTGGATTATTTTTCTGTCGTTGAAGAAAAAACATTTTGCTGACCTCAAGTCCATTACGATAACCATAATGAGGCATGTCGACGATGGGAACTTGTTGCATCATCGTTATTTTTGTAATTTTGTCACGTGTGTGGGTGCGTGAATAAATCATGTTAATGAGGTCGAACAGAGTTTATTTTCAGTCTCTTTTTTATGTATCGCCATTTGGATATGTTTATGTGTTCACAATAGTTTGTAGACATTTCACATCAGTAATAAAAGGTTTATTTGTTTTATAACCCTGTCTGCTATTCTTCAGTAATTACGATGCGATGTATCAATAAGTGCGTGAACAAAATTATGCTAATGAGGTCATCGCCATCTTGGATTACAAGCGGTAGTTTTCCCCGGCCGTTTCGACTTGCACTGATCACGATTACTGGTACTAAAAAAGTAACCGTGCATTGATTACAATACTTACCGTACTTTGTAGCCAATTTCAGTGAGTAATACAACTTCATTCGCTGACATAAAACAAGTTTTATTCTTGAAATTTGACCCTGTGTCTTAGTGTTCCCACAGTTCTTGACCGAGTGCTCACGTTTATTGAAACCTCGCATAAATCAAGAAATAAGTTCGTGTACAAAGTGTACGAAAGCATTCCTTTATTTGACCTTATCATACAATCACAAAAACAACTTTTTAAAATCTTTTTTGGGGTGGTTCTCGGGTAAGCGCCCACCCCCAATTTTTCCCGATTTTGTATGTTCAGGCCCCTGGGCGCGTGCCCGAGGTAATACGGTAATATTTGTATTAATATTTGTTAAAAAATGAGAAATACCTCTAGCTGTCACATTGGTTGTGATAAGAACTTTTTCTTTTCCTTCTCTAAACCTATTGAGTACAGCGACACGTTGTTCCACTGTGAGATCACCAGATAATATAGCTACTGCATGGCCTTCCTTAGACATCTGTTCTGCTAACCATGATACAGTTCTCCTAGTCTGCAATAAAAATACATGACAAATTAAAATACCTTGTCCAATGTTCTATTAACAACATGTTATACTAGTAATACATCGTCTGTTGACGTAATTTTTTCTCTTGTTCATCCACAGCAATTTTCAGCTGGTGATGTGTACCTACAGTTCACATCATTGTTTTGTGACGTAAACAAGCAAAAGAAAAGCAGTTCACAAGCAAATACTTTGATATCACGTCAATAATAATGTTTCAGAGGTTTAGTATATTCTACATAACAAATGACTTGTGTCTAAGAATGAAGGTGGTATCAGTGATACAGCTGATGGCTGACAATACTGAAATCACTCCTAGAAAACCTGTTTGTGTTTATTCTTATTCAAAGAACAAACACACGCACAGTAACAAATAATTTTCATTTACTGTAAAATACTTTATTTTAGCTGCAATTAATTTTAGGTCAAATGACTTTTCAGGTGCTTTGTATGGAACTTTTGATAAGTTGAATGTAAAACATAGGAAAATATATATATTAGCTGGATTTTGTTTTCACTGAATCATTCCTTCAGTGAAAAAAAAGCAAAAATTAATTCCAAGCAAAGATAATGTATTTTACAGTAATCCATACTCTGTCAGCTGTTTTGCATCATGAATTATTTTGATTGTAAATGGCAGTGAGACAAATTTCTTTTTCTGGTTCATACGTTAAGTATTCCTAAAGTTTGATTGAATTCTTAACTGAGTCACTGTAATGCAAGTGTACACAAAAAAAAACGTCACTAGTATTGTTAAACAACATCGTTTTAACTAATTGACTGCAATGCGCTAGGCTACTGTAAAATACTTTAAACAGCGTCCGGTTTACTTTCGGAAATTCCGTCGCGTTTCGGAAAGTTTTTATTTTCACAACTTTTGAATATTTATTTGTACTTTTAGGCTAGTAAGGGGGTTATAATAATACTCAGATTTTGCTTTTACATTATTTTTTCATTGGTTAGACCCCTTTAAAAAGTCACTTCTGGTCATTTTACTGGCCATTTTATTATTTCTAAGTGAAATTAAATTAATTTCACTTAGAAATAATTTTTGCTGAAGAAATGATTCAGTGAAAATAAAATCCAGCGAATATACTATTTTCATATATCCATGTTATTCAAATCCATGTTATTCAACCAACATAGTTGATTGACACTAAAGAAGTCACAAAGTTTGATTATACAGTCCTCTGGTTTTAGTTAGACACTGGTTCTTGTGTTGAATATCCAAGTCAAGGCTACAGTGC